TCATCTTGGAAAATAGAATGTATAAAAATCATAGGGAGAAAAACATAGAGCATGTGTGTCCACTCCCTTAACTTAGACAAAGGTTTGGTACTTACCCATGCATTCTAAAAGTGTAAAGAATAATCTCCAATCTCTGCCTAGGGGCAAAGGAACCAATTTTGAAGCCAATTTCTCCTGGAACAGAACTTTAAGGGTTCACATAGTCTTTCTTCACAGTGCTCTTGAGCTAATCCTACTAAATTCTTTACTGCATGTTGACACATTCCTATACCTATTATAAAGTGAAATGCCTTGCCCTAAACCCCGTGGAAAGTCTATCTACCTATGTACTAGGAAAATAAGGTTCTAGTATTACCACAGCATTAAAAAAAACAAAACAAAACTGGATGAGTTTTCACCAAATTAGAGGGCATTTTCAGAATGGATTGACAAAGTCTTTAAAATCTACTGGAGGGTCCTGAAAGTCTCCAGAAAAAAATGGCAATCATTGTATTAAGCAACTGAAACTGAGTTATGAGACAGCTATGTGGGTCCCATATGCCATGATAGTAAGATAATGTGGACAGAGAAAACCATAGTAAAAAAACAAGCCCTAAATATATTTTAGGACAAATGCCACACATTACAGGCATTAAGATAAAAACCCAAGAACGCTTTTAAGAAATCTTCTAACATATATTCAAACAGTGAGGTGAGTATCATGAATCCCATTTACCTATTACTAAACTTAATTTTGTTAGGGTCTCTCCTCTTCTCCCAGCCCCTGATCACTTCCCTCCTTAGTTTTTGCATTGCCAGGCATCATAGAGTTTCATTCGAAAGTATTTTAGTAGCAGGCATGGATTATGATTTACTGCGTTCTCACTTGGACAGCTCCATGTATTGTGCTCTTACATGTGTAGTTGTGAGGACTTAAAGCAATGCTATGAAGGACCGCTTGTATTTTCATTTAGTTTTACAGCTTTGGGGCTTTATACTCCCCCTTCAGGCTTTTTGGTCTTGGAGAAGTGGACCCCTATCTGGATCTTGACTTTCTGGTGCACTGGATGAGGATAGGTTTATTGGTTGATCTTGAAGTTTCCATCACGTTTGAAATCTCTGATCTGTGAACCTCATCACGGGACCAAGGGTGGGCATCTTGGCCAGCAGGTCAAGAGATGTCCATGTATTTAATACCCTGAACTCCCAGCTCCATTGACTTTTTTTCAGTGAAATTTCTCTGGTCTGGGGCTCTGTCATTCCCACAATTAATCTTCTAGGCTAAATTTTAACTCCTGCCAGGATACTTGTCTATCTTCCCTGCATTATTTCAGCTTTGTTTCATATGTCTCCCCCCACCCAAAGCCCATTAAAGGTGCTGTATTTCCTTGCTATGGGAATGCAAGCTGGTGTAGCCACTCTGGAAAACAGTGTGGAGGTTCCTCAAAAAACTAAAAATAGAACTACTTCACCCAGCAATTGCACTACTCAGGGTATTTATCCAGGAACAGGTGTGTTGTTTCTCATAGGGATACAGAATCATCATGTTTATGCAAGGTTCACAGCAAACAATAGCGTAAAAATGGAAGGAACCCCTAAAGCGTCCATTGGTGATGAGGATAAAGAAGATGGTGGTATATATATATACAATGGAGTACATTCTGAACAAAAAAGAACAAAATCTTGCCATTTCCAACTACTGGAGGTATGGCTGAGTGGGTATTATGCTAAGTGAAATTAGAGAAAGACAAAAATCATATGACTTCACTCATATGAGGACTTTAATATAAAAACAGGGAGGGGGACAAACAGAAGAGACTCATAAATATGGAGAACAAACTGAGGGCTACTTAGAGGGGTTGTGGGAGGGGGGATGGGCTAAATGGGTAAGGGGCACTAAGGAATCTACTCAGAAATCATTGTTGCACTATATGCTAATTTGATGTAAATTAAAAAAAAAGGAAAAATAATAAATTACTAAATAATAATTGTCGTTTGTCATATGACCTCTGGTATTCGTCAGTAGTCTACCTATCATGTCAAGATACTTTCCACTTTCCTTACCATAAAGTCTGTTGTTAGTTAAGTCCAAATTTTGTAATCCTATGTAAATAATGGTTTTCCCATCTTATATATATATATATATATATATATATATATATATATATTCCCATCTTATATATGTATGTGTATATATATATATACACACACATATTCAAATACGTGTACATCAACTTTCAAAATTTTACCCTTAGTAGCATTTAATTATCCACTCAAAACTGAAGGCAACCTACTTTCACACTGTGATTGATGTCTACCAAGAGATACTCACTTTTCCAAAATTAGCTGTAGATAGATCACAACAAACCAGCCAAACAGCAACCAATCTGGCAGTAAATGCAGAGAGGGTACTCTTTCCTATTAGGGTGTTAAAATAGCATTTAGTACTGCATCTATAGTGGACTGATTTTACATTATTACAAAAGCCCAGCTTTTCGTCCTAGTAGTAGAAAAACTAATGGATTTTTTTCTTCTTTCACATTGACAGACAAGCTTACTATCACTGGAGCCCATGGCCAGCTGGGAAAGGACAAAGGGGCTTGAGTTCTTGCTGTGACCCTTTAGTAATTCCAGTAAAGTCTGAGTACCACTATGGGAGCATTAGAACACCTACACTGCAATAAAAGAATCAACTGTGTGATGTGTATGCAAGTAACCAGAACTGACAGGACATGTGACCTAGGACTACTGATCTCCTGCCTGGGCAAAGCAGAGGTGCGTATGGTGACTATAACTGAAGTACAAGAACTGACTTAAACTGGGGGGAATGAAATCTGAACCCCAGGCGTTCCATACCAGTTACCTGGATTGAGTACAGAAATGGACCACGTTCTTCCTGTGTCTTACGTCTTTTCATGTCTTTAAAGGGCTCCTTTGTAAGAGGAGATCAGTATGGGCTATATACTCAGAGACACAACTGGGTTTAAGTTTTGAAGGATGGGTAGGATTTTGATTTTTAAAAGGAAAGCCATGAAAAATGGAGGAAACAACGTAAGGAAACTTGACTGGAGCAGACTATGATGGTTGGTAGGGAAGGTTCGGAAGGGAATGCTGGAATAGATTACTAGAATAGGGTGTGAAAATAAAAGTTAGTGTCCATGTGAGAGCAAGGCTTACACTGACATGCTGAGGTCATCCGGCAGAAGCACCCAGAGGGTGCAAGTTATTGTTGCTCCAGTTAGTAGGTCAGGCCAGTCAACAGTATCTTACAACAAACTCCTCACCCAGGGTGCATATGCTGCTTCTCTTATTTCTTGGATATCTATTGATATCATTTACAGAATTTTGAATTCCCAAACAGGTACAGCACTCTAGCCCTATATTTCTTTCTGTAACATCTCAGTGACTATTACTAACAAAAAAAAACTTTTTTAATCATGACTTACTCCTTAAGAACTAGAAATTTCTGGGCCCCTGGGGGGCTCAGTCATTAGGCATCTGACTTCGCCTCAGGTCATGATCTCATGGTTTGTGAGTTCGAGTCCCACATTGGGTGAGCTGGGGTCCTGCTTCTCTCTCTCTCCCCCACTCCCCCCTGCCCCACCCCTCCTGGGAATTCTGTCTCTAGCTCACTTGTGCCCTCTCTCTCTCAAAAAAGAACTCGAAATTTCTACAACCACTGTTTACTATCAACATACTTGTCCCCTAACCATTATGTGTAACCTCCAAAGTAAAAAGGTTTGGTTTTGATTAACTGCAATTAAGAAAAATCCTAATTCCGTTAACTTTTGGTAATTTAGAGAGGTTGAGTTTCAATTTGTTAATGTGTAAAAAAGGAACAGAGGTCTTCTGGGGTTGGTGTGAAGATCATCCAGTGGAATATATGTAACAGAGCACTTGGTCTCACCCATAATAAAGTTAGTTATGTTATAGTTATTATTTTACAAACAAAAGTCTTTGCTGCTAAATAGATCAGACTTGAGCACTGGTTGCTTAATGACACCTGTTACATAATGTGCTTCTACAAATGAATAAAGAGAACTATGTGTAATACAAAGACCTATTTAACATTTTAATAGGTTTATAAAAAGCTATTTTGCTGAAGATCACTGCCAACTCTATTATCTCTCAGCAGCTTTATCTTTTAGAGAAGAAGATAATTTTTCATCCCAGGGTAGCTTCATTTCCACCTTTAAACTAAGGTGGAAATGCAGCTGACCACAGGATGAGGCTGGCAAGAGCCTACCCTCCCTAAATGATAAAGTGTCAGATCGTTATTAAAAATAGTTGGTCTTGATTCATCTATACTCAGCTACTAAATTTCGGTTACTTAACTACCCAGTGCCTGACCTTCTCCCTCTGATATTTTGGAAAAGTCATATTCTTATTATACATGCCTAGCTTGACAAACAGGAGAACTCTGTGTACTTGAAAGAAAAAAGATATGGCAGGTATTCTGTAGGACTTTGTATTGAAAAATCTATTGTTAAGATGTAGATGATTTTAAAATGTATGAAGTATGACCAATATGGCCAGTTTAAGAAATAATTTAATGTCCTGTAAAGACTTATTTTATGTAGTTAGGTTTTTTAGTTTGGTTTTGGTTATGGAAGCTAAAGATGAAGTTTTCCAGGGTGCCTGGGTCGCTCAGTTAAGCATCTGACTTTAGCTCAGGTCATGATCTGGCAGTTTGTAGGATCGAGCCCTGCGCATTGGGCTCTGTGCTGACAGCTCAGAGCCTGGAGCCTGCTTCAGATTCTGTGTCTCCCTCCCTCTCTGCTCCTCTCCTGCTCGTGCTCTATCAAAAATAAAATAAACATTAAACAAAAAATGGAGCAAAATGAAATTCCAATCCAGAATTTGGTTTTACCCCTGCTAAAGTTACTACTGATGAAAAGTAACTTCACTTTACTGAAATGAATGCATTTCCTTTATAGAAAAGGAAAGAGCAAATGCTTTCAAACACTTATCTAATATCTTCATATTGCTAGCTTAATAGTTCTACCAGTTATTACTCACATTGAGTTTTAAAATGAGTTTATTAAAGAATGTTTTTAGGAAGGCAACAATGTTATTAAAAAAAACGTCTGTTTCTTCATGCTGAAAAGGTAAGAGGCTATAGTTACAAGCTTCTTTCTATTGGAATTCTGATAGTATAGCACAGTGTAGTCATTTCTGCGATGCTAGAATAAATAAAAAAAGTCTCTTCTATGCTTCTCCTCAAAAAAGCGATGAATAGTAACAGAAGATGGCATAAAAAAGCCATTTTTTTTCCCATTCATTCTGTAGTATTGGAGCCAGTATCTAGGAAACAGGAGAAGAAGAATAAATTGAAAGAGCAACTTAATTTTAAATATTGAGAATATCTTTAAAACAGGAAATAACAGTGGCACTGCTGTTGAGGGGTGGGGAGAAAAAGAAGGCAAGATTGGGGGAAGCTGATTAAGGAAATGTCTTGAGAACTTTAACTTGCTTTTTAAGGCACAGGTAAAGAAGATAATTCTTAGCTCTCCCTATTTATGCTAGAGAAAAACCAAATTAATATTACTTGGTTCATTATCTAAGTTATACCAATTTGGTTCATATAGTTGCCATAGGATGATTTTTTTTCTAGGTCCTCTACTGTCCCCAAATTTTAAACCACAAAGAACCGTAACATATAATGAGGAGAAAATTGTATTTTAATTTCTGATGAGAAACCAAAATTCCAGCCACTGTCACTGTTCCTATTTCAGAAAGCTTTTAGGAAAAAAAGGGCTTATCCATTTATCTGGTCATTAAGGAATGACATTTTCTCAATCATTTATATTTTAATTTTGGAAAGAAAAAATTCTAAGATTGTATTCTTTTCTGCTGACAGAACACATGCAACACAACCTAAACTTTTCTGGAGTACTTAACAGTTCTCTGATGATCAGTTAATACACTCCTCAGAAGCTACTGCAGTAGGTAAGGCTGATTTTACTATTCATCCACTGAATTCTGAAAAAAACAGATAATCTTGCATCTAAGCAAGAGTAATACACTCTAAAGACTACCAGACAGGAGCTTCTGTGAGGAAAACACACGTTTACGTGGATTCTTTGATATTAGTAATTTGCTCAGGGGTCTTCACCGCCCCCCCCTCCCCCCAGGGGTCTTCTTTAACTGACTTTTTGATTCTTAGCTATGTTTCTTGCTTGCTTGCTTTTTTTTTTTTTGGTGGTTCCACTGGTGAGGGTTCTTAGCTATGTTTCAAACAACTGAAACAGACAATCTACGAGTCTACATCTGTGCTGTCCAACAGGGTGGCCACCGGGAAGCCATGTGTGGTTATTTAAATTAGTTAACTGATAAACAGTAAATTTCTCAGTTGCCCTAACACATTTCAAATGCTTAAGAGCCCTATGTGGCTACTGGAAAAGTATAGATGGAGAACATTTCCATAGGTACGAAAGTTTTACTGAATAGTACTGGTCTACATCATTAACTTATTTTGATAGAGGTGCAGGAGTTATAAATTCATGCCCCAATTCCCCAGTCTAACAAAAACTTAAAAGTCTCAGGGTTATGCTGATGCTATTAGCCTTAATTATAAGGAAAATATGAAAAAAAGTATAATCTGACCTACAAAAATGTCATAATCCAGGAACTATAAAATAACATAGATTTTTTTCTGTCATTAAGCAAGGAAACAGTATTTGATTGGATAATATTAAAAAGCCATCTTTATTCCCACATAACCTTTTGAAAAGCGCAAGTCATTGTAGTATTGCTACTTTCAGAGACTTGCTGGTATCTGGAAAAGACTTCATTCTTTAAAAAAAGGGCCAAAGGCATTTATGCAGCCATGAAAAATGATGTTTCTGCAAATGTATGTATACATTTATTACTGTAAAAAGGGACACACAAGACTAGAGAGTTATGCAGTAAGATATTAAGTGACGTTCTCTCCAGATGGTGTTACATATTAGGCTTTTCTTCTGTCTTCTCTACATTTTTCAGTAATTAGCTTATTTCTTTTGGAACCCAAAATGTACAAAATAACCTGAGAAATTTAGGGTATTAAATTTCTACATTTTCTTTTGCTTTTCCAAATTCCCTTCTTAGCGAGTAACAGTATTCTCTATTTAATTTCAGGAACAGCTGTTTGAAACACAAATGGTTCAGATCATAAAGTAAAAGTAAGTATATGTTTAAAATATAATTAGCAAAAAGGAAATGATCATGGAAGAGAAAGCAGATACATATAGTTTTTGAAACATTTAAGGACTTGAACAAGGTCCTAGGTCTGCTGTGGAAAATATATCTGCACAGATATAACAGAGAGGGGAATGGATATTTATCATTATAACTGATAAGAGTCTTAGGGCTTTTCAAAATCTTTTACACGATTACTTTTAAATATAAAACGTATAAGCATCCAGCAACACAGAAATCATAGGATAAACTGTCAAAACTAAACACTTCAAATGTGCAACTGAAAAAACTTAATTTGCTTATTTTTACTCACACAGATTGAATTTGTGTGGGTTAGTCTACATGTCCTATGAAATGTTCATCCCTAAAGTCATTAAGAGGACTGGCTGAGACCTGGAATTCAGAATCTAGCTGGGACAGAAGCCAGATCTCTTAGCCATTTCCCCCCTTAATTCCAGATGAAGATGTTCTAAAGACTCACAAAAAACAAGATTTCAAGTAGTTTTGCTTTCACAGTAATGAGGTAAACACTTACTTTTACCATCACAGGCTACAATTTTCACTTTATCCACTTTAATAAGTTCTGTCACCTCTCTGAATTCAACATCATTCAATACGAAAGTCCACACATTATCGCAGAATCTGTACGTATTTAGAGAGCCCTTTAAAACAAAACATTTAGACATATCATGAAGTCATTTTTCCCCCAAGGCAATGTAAGAACTCAGTTACCAAGAATGTAATCTTTAAAACAATATGATGATTTAATACTTACCTTAAGATTTTCCTTAATTTTCATCCTGTCATTTGGGAAAAAACAAACCAAAAACACCACCCTAGATAAATTTGCTAGTAGTTACATGCTGTAGTTAGCAGACTATTTTCAGCTCTCCAAGAGTCTGCCAATTACTTACCTGAACCATGTAAAAAAAGCTGGAAGGAAATTTGAATTTGTACTGCTCTCTTGTGGCAACACGATGAAAGTTCACTTGAATTTTTATGTAAAACACCACTCCTGCAGTAGGAAATCCATACAAACTTTGATTCCACCCCAATTTAACTAATAAGTCTCACTGATAACAGAGTTAACACATTTTGTACATTATATGCATTATATTCTGTATTACAAAAGTAAGCTCCAGCATAGAAAATGTTACTAAGAGAATCATGAGAAATATTGAGAAAATACGTATATGAAAGTGGATCCACACAGTTCAAACCCATGTTTTTCAACCACATTTTATTGTATGTGTTAATTCTCTGAGCTTGTACAAAAGCAGGGACTACCCAGAAACACTAAATTTTAACCCTGTGTCTTGGATGAATTACTGTGCTATATATAGCCAATGGAACTACATTATTGTCCTGTGCAACTGATAAGAAGTATTTTGGTTTTTTTTAGGAGCAGGAATATGTGCTTAAATAAAAAGGAAATTCTCAAAGAATGCGGTAAAAGTGCAAGGAAAGACACAAGCTGAATGCTATCAAAACAGACACATACACATGGAATCTTCACAAATGAAATTTAGCATTTGGTAAGAGATTTATAAACCCCAAACCTTCAATTCAGAAAAACATTCTCTGCAGTGTTACTTGTAATAGTGAAAACTGGATTCTACCTAAATGTTCTATCAAGTGAGAATGATTAGGGAAACTATGATGGTTGTGAATGACTTCATGAAATTTTAAAAAGATCAATAATTATCACTTGTTGGACTACGCTAGGCTCTGAGGATACAAATATGATCCCTGCCATCAATGAGCATACGGTAGCAGGGGAGATCATTAAAACAAGAAAGCATACAGTATAGCAATACTATGAAAGAGAAGTAAGCTAGGGGCACCCAAGGGTATGGAAGACACGGGGCACAGAAGGCTTCCCCTCACAAAGTGAAGTTGAAGTTGAGTCCTGAAAAGCGAGTACAAGTCAAGGAGAGGTGGGACAATAGAAAGTAAAACACATATTTGGAATGGGATAGTTAAATGTGTCGAGCTCCCAAGGTGGAGGACATCCTGGAGAACCTTGGAAAGATTTGCTGCATCCTAAACCTATTATTAGGTCAGTGAAGGATTTTGAGAAGAATAACATGATCAGATTTGCATTTCTGGTGATAACATTAATTGATTGGGGGTGGGGGGGGAGGCGGTTCTGATGGAGGCCGAAGACTTTGATGCCTACAAGAGAGGTGAGAGTGGCTTTACTGTAGCAGCAAGGAAATGGAAGTGGAGAGATACCTGGTAACAATGCGCTATGGTAGGGAGACAAAATCTGTTCATCCCCAAGTTTCTGTCTCCAATAACAGTGCAATCATAGGAAAAGCCAGTTTGATTTGGAACTTGTTGACTTTGAGACCTAAGTCACCATGTGCAGAAAGCTGCTAGAGTGTGGAAGAAAGCCTGGGAGCATGAGCCTATCAACTTTAGAGACACAGGGTTGGATGAGATCATTCAAGGAGAATAGGTGGAGCCCTAGATAACCCTAAGGAATACCAACAATGAAACAAAAAAGGGTCTGAGAGACAGTGAGGTCAGAGAATAGAAGCTGGGATAGTAGGGTTTCAAGGGAAGTATGGGTTTCAACAGAATGTAATGTCACAAATTACGCATTAGGTTTAGCCATAAATAATGTGGTAAGAAAAGTTTTAGTGGAGTGGTGAGATTATGGCATGGAAAACCTTCAGGACATAGTGTTAACTGAAAAAAAAAGATCTCTTCAGTTACATTCTGAGCCTTTGGAAGGCTACACAGCTAAATGCCAATTTTAATGTTCATTTCTAGCACCCCTGAATGCGAACTATCCAGTTGGTGACAGCTATGCCAATAATCTGAACAAGGCATGTTACTAGGATATTTTCAAATACATGTTGAAATTCTGTTAGTTGTAACATAAATGTATATACTTCCCTTATTTTATTGTGAAATTGCTATAAAACTTGCCCGAAAACTATTTTATGTTCAATGCTAACATTTAGAGTAAAACAGACAACTTTTGAGCCAACAAAGGCTTAATAGAATGTAAACACAAGAAGAGATTAATGATAGAATCTTTTTAGAATTGTTTAGTGAGCTAGAATTCCTAATATAAAATACTATATTTAATTTATAGTATCTTCGTCCAAGTCCTAATCTAATTATCTCAAGTATAAGGACTCGAGAATAGAAAATTTTATTTAAAAAAATGTATACAAAGGGGTGCCTGGGTAGCTCAGTCAGTTCGGCTCAGGTCATGATCTCCCAGTTGATGAGTTCAAGCCTCACATCAGGCTCTGTGCTAACGGCTTAGAGCCTGCTTTGAATTCTGTCTCCCTCTGTCTCAAAAACATTACAAACAATGTATTTAAGGAACTTTTCGAATACTAAGATATTTGACTTTGGTCAAGTAACTGATTTAAACCGTAATTAATTTGGCCAAACTATGTCTTCAATGCACCTTTACATATATCTGTATCTGGGCAACATTCTTAAAATATCTTAATACATGTTCTTGGTAGAAACAGACCAGATAGGGAAAAGGAAACTGTCAGTGTTTTTAGAAGGGTGATTTTTCTTGACCATTAAATCTTTTAATGCCTAATTACTACTTCAAGTTTAACATTACTCTCACCTGCTAGCATACTTTTTTTCTAAAGCACACATTGACTTTTTAAAGGACTAGTTCAATATGAATTTTCTCCCTAAAAATTAGTTCAAGGTCCTTGGTGAATATATACATTGACCTTTTTAACATGTAATGGGCCCCCAGGCTAGTAAAAATTATTACAAATAATATAGACTTAAATGTGACCAAGCAAAATAGGTTATTTGCAAACACTCTGAACAAGTTTGCTGTAACGGGAGAGATAGGTAATGAAAGCCCGAGCTATGACAGAGTAGTTATTACTAGCTATTGGAAAACAGGCAAACTTATAAAACGCTATGCAAAAGATGCAAATGTCAAATTGTGTTTAATTTTTTTTTAATGTTGTATTTATTTTAGAGAGAGGGAGACACAGAATCCAAAGCAGGCTCTGAGCTGTCAGCACCGAGCCCGACGTGGGGCTGAGAGCCCATGAACCGTGAGATCGTGACCTGACCTGAAGTTGGACACTTAACCAGACTGAGCCACACAGGTGTCCATGTTTAACTTTACCTAACTAGACCCAAACTGGAAACCTACAATACCACTAGAAGATAAGTAGTCAAATTGTCTATATAGGCAAAAATGTATGTATTAACTTAGAATTAAAGCATCAGGTTCTGAATGACAAACCTGGCAGGTTTGTACATCCGGTTCTACAAAACAGCAAACTAATTTTGCCAGTAAAATTCAAGAACCTACTGACAAAATTTTATAAAGATACATTTTACTCCAGATAACTATTACGCATGTGAAACTGATAAGATTTATTACATAAAATACATGCAGACTTTATCCCTTCATTAAAATTATTCTCTGTATACCCAAGATCCACAATGCCTGGTATGTAATAGACACATATTGAAGAAAGGATTTTAAATAAAAAGTTTTTTAATTAAAAAAACCCAAACTCTATACTTCTCTTAAATCAATTGACCTCTATGTTCTTTTCATATACTGTAATCTTTTAATTTCTACTTTATGGTATCCCTTAACAACATGAGCACAAATATTAAATATAACCAAATTATGACTCTATTAATATCAACGTGGTAAGATTATTTCTATTTACCATGATGCTTGCAATGGGCTTCAGTCTGATTTACCATCCAGTTTAGAAAGATAGCTTTGTTCACTTTGGGCTTACTGTTCAAAGTCTAAATGAGTTAAATGAGATCAAGCTACCAGAACAGATCATTATCTACCACCAGTTCAGGTCTTCATTAGAGTAGGTGGGAGGCAACATGAATGTACTTCCCTGGAATGAGGGAAGGTCAGAGTTTGAAAAACATAAGCAAACCTGAGAGCTCTCATTTACCTTCAATTCTGCAGAGAAGGATTTGGGCATTTGAGACCTCAGTGACTCTGGAGGGAAGGCAACTAAACATACATAGGCTGATTTGTGAAACAATGGAACAAAAATCTTAAAAACAACTCTGTATCTCACGTTAGGTGGATAGAGCTGGTATACAGAATTTAAAAGTAAAGCGTAATTTGGGGCGCCTGGGTGGCTCAGTCGGTTAAGTGTCTGACTTTCTCAGGATTTGTTGAGTTCCAGCCCCACATCAGGCTCAGAGCTGACAGTGTGGTGCCTAGTTGGGATTCTCCCTCTGCCCCTCCCTTGCTGGCACACTCTCTTTCAAAATAAATAAAGTTTAAAAAACAGTTAAAAGTATAGTTATTATAAAACAAGTTCCAAAATTCGATTAAGCCATCTCTTCCTTTTATATTAATAATTATGTACGGATCCTAAAAAGCACTGTTGTAACAACCACTGGTATAAGCTGCAAAATTTTAGGAAAATATCCTTACCCTGAAGTTGACTCTGTTCCTGACCCTCTGGGCCAATGCTGAATTTATAGCCTTATCAAACTGAAGGAGAACTTGGAGAGCAAGTTGGGGGGTGATCTGTTGAGACTGAGAAAAAGTAAAGGTCGTAAATCCTTTTAGGGAAGGACATTAAAGACAACATACATATGAGTTATCATCTAAAATTTAACCAAGGTTAACCAGAGCCTCTTAAACTAGAATCTCTTACTCTCTTGTGCCATAAATGACAATTAGGAAGTAAAGCCTCACTGTATTTTCCTGCACTGTCCTGACTCAAACAGAATTGTGAAAAGAAAACATGCAGTGATGTTACACTGCCAGGACAAAACTCTATCACTCCTTTATAGTGTCTGGAAAGAGGCATTCAGTAAATTGAAGGAACCAAGTTTCTTTTAAATAAAAACCACAGGACTCAATATACTAAAAAAACCCTCATCTCATTAAAGCTCATAAAATGTATGAAAGCAAATGGAAATAATATTAAAACGTTCTTAGAGAAGTTTAATTTAAAGGTTAATTCTCCTAAAATTGAAATATAAATTCAAATTTAAATCTCAAAAGACTATGAAATTTTCCAAAATTATCTTAAAGCTACACAGACTATGCCTTTCTTATAAGAGAAAACCAATACTCTCAATTTTTATGTTTAACAATAATCTTTGAAAAATTAGGCATGTTCAACCATGTCATCAGAATGGTATAATGTACAAGAACTTGCAGTTATTCATCTGAATACTGACTTGCTGGGTCAGAGAGTCTAAGATCTCTAATGTCCTATCTCTGCCTGAGACAAAGGATATAACAAAAACTATTATAGATCCATCTAAATAAAAACTGATGTTTAGTCTCCCACCTGTATGAGCTCATCCAGGCTCTCCTGGAGACTGTTTCCCAAAGTGGTATTTCTGTATAACTGATATGCCATGGCTTAGGAGGAAGAAACTGTTTTTCTTATTCAGGCTTGCATTGATGTCCTAAAAATTTAATATGAAAGTATTAAACATTATAAACCATGTATGTAATATAGTCTACTTCATATACTAATATATGCTATCCAAACCCTTAATAATTGCAAATTGCCTTATAACTAAGAATTACAAAGAACAGTTAAAAATGACTTATTCTTTTCTGTTATTTTGACATAGGCATTTATTCTCCTTTACACAAAGTACAGGTATACTCATTTACAGATATAGGTATATTTTTGCTATTTCTTTTAAAAGTCTGCCTTTTAACTTAATCTAGAATGAATTTATCACGTATTACCATTCCTTTCTCCTTACTGTCAAGTCACTAATCCAGACAGTCTTCAGCTTCCACGTACATGCCTTTGCTTCATTTCCTTTTCTCCTTAACATTTGATATTTACAGAGTGCCTATCAAGAAGATTGCACTATCATAAGCAGCAGGGACAGGAAGATAAGTAAGGATATACTCCTGATTCTAAAAAACGTATACTCTAGACAGGGTAACAGAAATACAAAAATAGGATTTAACTCAATAGAGAAGAGTAACTATGATAGATCTATAGAGTATATGATGCAGGCTACCTGTGGACTGAGTAGGCTGGTTACCAAAATCTTCCTGATTCTTCAAGCTAGACTTCAGCCAAGCAAAAGAAGAAGAATAGAACGAGTAAAGCCAAAGGAGTATGAAATGATACAGTTTAAGGAGGATGAATAGGCAGTGGTAGGAAACGGAGCTGAGAAAGAGGACACGATGGATTTGTTCCACCAGGAGAAACACCAGGGTTTTACAGGGAAGATGACGGGAACCACTGAAGCATTCCAGGAAAGGTCAAACGGGCAGCAATCTGAAGAACATACTTGAAGGAAATGAGGGCTCAAATAGGGTGGCAGTAGTACAGTTTCAACACATTTTGAGCTGCTGCTACATGTCATACACAAGACCACTGACCTCATGGCACTTTCAGCTTTAGAGATGGACAGGAGACTTTATCAAGTAAAGCTCGGCAAAAATAATGGTTAGTTATCAATCTTCACGTTATACGCCCATGGAATTTGATACAGGAGATCACGTCTACCTTCTTGAAACCTTTTCTTTGGCTTCTGGGATGCCACACTCCATTCTCTCCTCCCAACTCACTGGATATTACTATTGTTTTCTTTGCCTGGTTCCTCCTCAGCAACCTGACCTCTACTGGAGGGCCTTAAGGCTTCTTAGGTCTTCTCTATGTTTTACTCCCTTAGTTAGCTCATTCAGACTTATGGCTTTTACTACTATCTGCTGATGACTTCCAAAAGTATATCCCCCGTCCTTGTCCCCTTGTTGCCATATATAAAATTGCCTCAACACTCCCTGAAAGTATCAGAAGGGTAGCTCAAATGAAATGTGACAAAAACCAAATTCCTGACACTGTCCCTCCCAAACCTTTTCTGCCCTCAGCTTGCTCACTCTAGTAAATAGTAAATCTAGTCTCGTGTAAATAGGACACCCCCAAAATTTTACATTCAACCTTAGCTTCTCTCTCACTCTGCATCCAACCTGTCAGCCAATCCTTTGAGCTCTTCCTTCTAAGTATAGCCAGGAGCTGACCACTTTTGCCATCTCCAGTGCTCCCATTAAGTCCTCATCATCTGCCACCAAGATTACTTGATAGCCCTGTAAGAGCTCTCCCTGTTTCTACAATTGCCTATAACACCCCTGCCCCTAGAGCAGCCACACTGAGCCTTTTAAAACATAAATGAAGCCACATCACTCATTTATTGCAAACGTTCAACAGCAGCATCCTACCTCAGAATAAAGTCCTCCTAATGGTTTGCAAGGCCGACATCCTCTGGGTCCCTTACTACCTCACTGAACTTACCTTCTTCCACTTACTCCTTCATTCACTCTGATGCAGCCATACTGGTACCTTGCTGCTCTTCAATATGGCAAGATATTCTTGCTTTGGGGCTTCTGCACTGTCATTTTTGCTTCAAGTGTTCTTCCCAACTACCTCCATGGTTCACTCCCTGATTTAATTCACATCTCTGCTCAAATGTCACTTCATTAGAAAGGACTTCTGTGACCAACCTATAAACAAAGAACTACCTCCCTTCCCCCTTACACTGTTTTAACTTTCATTCATACCATTAACTGTAGCTGACACACATATGCTTACTGTCTCCATCCACTAAAATAGATGTTCCATAAGAGTGGGTTTTGTTCACAGTTAAAAAATTTACCATCTAGAACAATGACTAGTATGTATTCAATAAGTATTAGTGAACAAATAACTTGGTGGTTATGTCAAAATGCTAATATCAAATATTAAAAATTTCTGATAGTGTGATACAAAGTTTTCTTCGTTAC